TTGTGAATTGAACTAAATGAAGGTTCATCTGATTAATGAGTATCGAGGAAATTATGTTCATCTATGAATTAGACGCAGCTTCATGTTTTTCAAGACATCTTTCCGGAATATGCGTCTGTGAAGGCGTTCAGATAATGACGATTTTGCACAGTATTATTCATGAGATTCTTGTCAAAAGTAAGGTCGGATAATAGATTCGATTTTATTCAGCAGTGTTGGCCCTGGGGCCTATAGTACGATTACAGTTGATTAATTGCACGTGGTGCTAGTAACATATTAAGTTTCTATGGGTATTGAATGCATATTTCAGATAAAAGCTATGGTATTAATTACACAACATGTACATGTATATTGTTTGATGTTACAAGATTTGGCAATGTGCGTTCATACATTACAATTTTTGACAGACTTGGCAAATAATTAATAAATGATATTGATAGCATCTTCACGACTTGGCCATACAGTCATGACAATTTAAGGAGTGAAAAGTGAGCGATAGGTCTTGTGGGAATTCAAAGATTCATTAAGACTGTAGCCGTCTAAGCGTAACTCTGTGTGTAATATTTATACATTTTCTATCCACTGACAACATGCTTCTAATATTAATATTATTTTCATCGATTCATCATATTTTATCTATAGCTGTGCTATAGTTTTTCATTAAAATGTCTTTTCTGTTGCTGGAATTGAAGTAAGTCCCACACAGAGCTGGGATCATATGTCTTTGAAATATAAATTATGCAAACGGCTGGAACCTTGTGTTCCAATACAAAACGTTCGTAACGCTACGACATTCGCATGCCTATGATAAACTATAGAGTTGGCCTCAACCATTGACTGGATTACATTCTTTTCGTCAGCAGAGAAATTTCGACTTCTCTTTTTCCTTGGGGTGCAGGCGACAGTATGCGTTTCCATTTTTGGTAAACCGGAAGTAAACAGAAAACGGAACTATGGGATATATGGAAGCTAACCAGTGACGTTAACCACACTGTTAAACTTTGACGGCGACGTTAGCTAACGGCATGACTAACCATGTTCTGAACAACGCATATTTAACGTTCGGTTACCTAACGGCCGGTTAAGGATTTAAAACAGCATACAGTAAAGGTGGTGATTATCTAGGACTGAGCATATATTATGATAAATGTCTATGTTGAGATGTAGTAGAATGACTAGCAGTAAAACCTGACTGGAATTTACTTCAAATGTTATGTTCATGGAAATGGTCGTGCACATGCTTTACCATTATTCTTTCAAGGATTTTCCAAAGGATAGGTAATATTAAACTAATAGGTCTGTAATTAGTTGGGAGGGATGCATTTCCTTCTTTCAAAATAGGAGTAACATTACCCGTTTTCTACAATGTAGGAAATACAGTCACTCAGTGATATATTATACAACAAACAAAGAGGTTCAGCTATAGATGTACAAATTCGTTTTAACACTCTCATGTTAATGCCATCAGGTCCACTAGATTTGTTGCTGGTAAGGTCTTATCAGATACCTCCTTTTCGGTTACAATGACATTTGTTATACATTATATATACAAAATATTCATTTAATGTTTGAGCTTTATCCAAATCTGTAAAACCTGAAGGTATCCCAGAATCATCAGTGACAAGAAGGGGAATGGGTCCCGATGAAGTAGTAACAACCTGATTGAGTAGACTGAAGTGATAAATAGTTATCAAAAATAGCTTAAAAGTTTCCCTTGGCTATTCTTTTCAGATTATTTACTTTATTCCTTTGCTTTTTGTATTTAAATAGCTCAGAAGTATTCAGAGATCGAAATGCTTTTTTCCTTAGACGTTCTCATTTCTTTTAAGTATGTTACGAGGGGCGTTGAAAAAGTAGTCAAACTAACTATATTCTCGATGTCCAATATTTGAAAAACAGCTTCCATTTTATTTTGATGGAATCATTAGCAAAGTCATATCCAAAATTTCATGTGGGTAATGTGGTTAACGAGATATTAGTCATGACAACATTGGGGTATTATGTTTCTTGCAAATTTGCAGAAAATGGAAAACGATCTCCCATTTGATATCTAGTAATAGTAATAGTCCGCTTATATGGCGCTCACATCCAGGCACATTGCCTGCTCACAGCGCTACGTACATTACTATCCCCGATCATAGGACACTATCCCTGTTTCCGATACTTTTTCAACTCCCTGGGGACTGTACAGCCATGCTGCCTGTTAGGCACTAAACACTCACATTGCCAGCACATACTCACGGGTACCCATTTTACAGCTGGGTGAACTGAGTTAGTGTAGATCTAAGTATCTTGTCCAAGGATACTACGCAAATGTGCCCCATCTCGGGACCCGAACCTAGGTGCCTCCTCGAAACAGGCCCTTCAGCGTGATAGGCAGACGCCTTACAACTGCACTATTGCGCTATCTCTTGGATAATGGTATACCCTCAGATAGTATCATATAAAATATGTTCAGCATAATATTGGATGACTTCCCGTCATCATCAACATTCAAAGATTTGGATTGCTTGATTTACATTTAGACGGGGACTGAGGACACCCTCATTATAAATTTTCAAAAACATTGTGTCCAGATATACAACATATTGTGAGCTGACACTTGTGTGACCATTCAGTATTTAGTTTGAACCCTTGACACCATGTATGAATAAGTGAAAACTTTAGGATGAGCTATATCCTTATGATGACGTCAACTGAAAGGGGGTGGGTAGTGTCTCCAAAACAAGCCCTTTCAGTAAACATGAAGGGGCGGAGTCACTTGAACAAGCGATTATAGTTTAAAAGTGCTTTTTGTGCTGTTTAATATCTAAGTTTGACTTTTACCAACATACAACATGTTTTTTGCATATTTTGTTTCAATTGGTGTAGGGGGATTCCCGCCAATACACCTTGATATAAAATTGGATCAAAATCTATTAATACTTTCCTGAGTTCGCAGCTACCAAACTTGGCATGTGCAAAACTGTTACACCTTCGCTGTGACCTTTAAAATGACCTCAAGGTCACAAAATTCAAGTGGTGTCGGTAAATCTCGTCAATAAACCTTGGTACCAAATTTGAACAAAATCCATCATTTCTTTCTCGAGTTCTTTCAGTAAACCGAAGGGGGAGTCATTTGAAAAAGCGATTGTAGTTTCAAATTGCCTTTTTGTGCAGTTTAATATCTAAGTTTGATTCTAGCCGACCTCTACCAATCTCAAACATACAAAAATGTTTCTTGCATATTTTGTTTCCTGAAGTTTAATTTGTGATGCATTTCATTGCTAGTCAGCTAGTCTATTCCATTTGTCCGAACCACAACATACGGAGACAGATCATTTAGCAGACCGGGTGCTGTACTCTGGAATTGATTACCTGAAAATGTCAGAAAATCGGAAAATATCAACAGTTTCCGATCGTGTCTCAAAACCATCCTCTTCAAACGAGCATTCGACTAAGCGCACATGAGCAGGACTCTGGATATGTAGCGCTATACAAATGTCTAATTTGATTTGATTTGATTTGATATACCCGTTAGAAACCCATCCCCACCCCACCCTACTTTATATTTATACATATCAAAACCTCAAAAGATATTTGCGAAAAGACATGATACAGAGGACAGTTTATATCGATTATATATCAGGACGAATATCATTTTCGTCATTTAGCTAAGATTTGTCAATTCATTCTTGGGTTATCGCGCTATCAATCTTTATATTGGCAAAACCCTCAGATTTTTGCTGTGACCTTGAAAATTATCTCCAGGTCACTCCATTTCACTTGTGTCGGTGAATCTCGCCAATATACCTTGGTACCAAATTTGAACAAAATCCATCATTTCTTTCTTGAGTTATCGCCCTAACAAGCTTATTTGATGTATGAAATGCAACGAAAAACAAACACCCGCGTATTTACGAGTGATTAAAACTGTTATTACAATTTACGTAAATATTTATTACATTTTACCGCAACGAAAAGTATTACATTTTACGTCAATTTTTATTACAATTTGCGTATTACATTTTACATCAATTTTCATTACAATTTACGTTTTTATTACAATTTACGTCAAGTTTATTACAATTTGCTGCAAGTATTACAATTTGCGTTTTTATTACAATTTACGTCGTAACAGGCCCCGTCTCGCACATGCAGTGTTTTTTCGCACGAGCGAAACAAATCGGCTTTCGTCCGAACAGCGGATCATTCCCCATGACGCCATATTCCAGTGAGGTCAAACTTGTCTCCAAGCTAGTCCTGCTCTGGAGATAACATATGGCTCCATACCTGGCCGATTTTAGGCGATTTCGGACCATTCTGTTGGACAATGGAGGATGAAGAAGCCACTCTGCTTTAGAAACGCCACTAGATATGAACGGATGAATTCTTGTGATATTCCGAAGGTTGTATCCTCATTTGTGATTGGCCTCAACGCTGATAGCCATTACCGTCATGTTTCCTGGCCAGTCGACTGATAGTCGATGAATGACGACCAGCATCCGTTGCACTAATCCTTAGTGACATGCCAGCCTTCCGTCCACCGATTCTTTGCCATGTTGGAGCAGTTGCCGATTGATGAGGCCTCATATTTGCTTATTAACGAAGAAATCAATTCACTTTCGAAGTTATCGATATGTCAGAACACTTTAGAAAAACACGATATTTGCTTAATGATCGGTACACGCATTGCACATGATGCCCGGCTTTGATCGAACCGTGTGCCTTGAACTTAAGGTATGGTGCGCCACAAGGGTAAACACAATCATACAAACAGGCATAATTATGATATGATTTGTAACTCCCATATAACCATTTATGTTCATACGTGTTGCGACTCTTTCTTCCATGTGTATATAACTGCTGGCATATATAATGGATAATGTCGTTTGATAGTCTGTGGGATGAAAGTCTATATAAATATGAAATAATGGATCAACAGGTATTTTTTATGGAGAATCTGCGGGAAAGTATAGACTGACATTATTAGTTGGTGGTATAATTTGAGAAGTTTTCAGTTTCAGACAAAATGGTGCCTGCTATCACTCTGTCTCTCACCCTGGTGAATTTAGCTCCATCAGCACACTTTTCGGGGATACGTACATCCCTAGTGGACTGCAGTTCCAGGTGTTACCATAACACCTCATGCTCCTCCTTCTTCTACTACAAAGGCTCCGGCTCCGGCTACTGTAAAGTCAACACAGTTGTCTACTCTGTTGTGCAAGACAGTTTAGTTGGTTTTAGGAACATGATGTACTACGAGTGGAAACATGGTTAGTTGTCGTTGTGAAATACACAATGCCATTTAGAAAGTGGTCAAATGTAACATATGTTATATTTGGGATTACACTTTCTTTTTTTGTAAAGTACAGATTCTAGTACTTTTGTTGGGTTGAGTTCCAACCGGGATTCGAACCCACACCCTCAGAGTCAGGCACCTAATCGCCAGCACACAAAGTCAGGCACCTAATCGCCAGCACACAAAGTCTGACTTTTGTGTGCTCGCGATTAGGTGCCCGACTCTGAGGGTGTGGGTTCGAATCCCGGATGGGACTCAACCCAACAAAAGTACTAGAATCTGTACTTTACAAAAAAAGAAAGTGTAATCCCAAATATAACATATGTTAGTTGTCGTTGTTGTCAAAGTCATCATTTTATCATTTTCTCTGCATCCAAACTTCATACTGCATCCAAACTATACTATTCATAGCTCTAGATTACTGATAGTGCATCCAAAGTCTACTATTTCTCATACATGTAGATTATTGATACTGCATCAAAACTGTACTATTCATAGCTCTAGATCACTGATACTGCATCCACAGTGTACTATTTCTAATGCATGTAGTTTATTGATACTGCATCCAAACTGTATTAATCACAGATCTAGATTATTGATACTGCATCCAGACTGTACTAATCGTAGATCTAGATTATTGATACTGCATCCAAACTGTTCTACTTATCATAGATCTTGATTGTTGATACTGCATCCAAACTGTACTGGTCATAGATCTTGATCATTGATACTGCATCCAAGCTGTTGTAATGATAGATCTAAATTATTGATACTGCATCCAAACAGTACTATTTCTCATACTTGTAGATTATTAACACTGCATCCAAACTGTACTAATCATAGATGTCGATTGTTAACACTGCACCAAAACTGTACTAATCAATGAAGCAGATTGTTAACACTGCACCCAAACTGTACTAATCAATGAAGCAGATTATTTATAATGCATACAAACTGTACTACTTATCACAGATACTGCATGCAAGCATTGATGCTGTAACGAGAACACAGTTGTCTATATTCTGTTGTTGCCCTTGTTGTCAGTATCATCATTTTATCATTGTTTTGGGACGTAGTGGTAAATCGTTCTTCACACCGAAGACCAGGCTTTGATTCCCAACATGGTTACAATGTGTGAAGCCCATTTCTGGTGTCCCCTACCGTGATATTGCTGGACTATTGCTAAACGCGGCGTAAAACCACACTCACTCACTAACTCACTCGAGCTCATTATCATTGTTTCCATTGAGGGGAGTAAGAGTACACCTTACAAAGTGCTGAACTGTGGTTGTCCTTCGATCAGCATCGGAGCGAGCCGTGTTCTGTTGCAATCAATTTGTTTTCCTTTTTACATGAGGTGGTATGACTGTCTGATGCGCCAACTGTATATATTCCTCCTTTGAAACACCCGAACTGGCCAACAAAATGCTTTCAATAATGGTATACGTACTGCCTCAAAACTATTCCACCAATCATAAAGATCTAGATAATCACTAGCCACAAAGGTCTGGATATAGTTGCATTGATACAGCTTCAAAATCGTCCCAATCCCACAGATGTAGATTTATGTCAGGTTTACTGATCAGGTGTTATTTGTCATTTGGACACATCGTATCTCCTCTCACAGTTATATCTAGAGATGTTTCGCGTCTACTTAGTTTTACGCCACACTCGGCTATATTCCAGCTATATGGCGGCGGTCTGTAAATAATCGAGTCTGAACCAGACAATCCAGTGATCAACAACATGAGCATCGATCTACGCAATTGGGATAAGATGACATGTGTCAACAAAGTCAGCGAGCCTGACCACCCAATCCCGTTAGTCGCCTCTTACGACAAGCATGGGTTACTGAAGATCAATTCTAACCCTGATCGTCTACTAGCACGGGCGATGGGGGCGCCTAATGGTTAAAGCGTCCGCTCACCATATGGGTACAATGTATGAAGCATATTTCTGGTGTACCCCGCACTGATACTGCTGGAATGTTGCTAAAAGCGGAGTAAAACTACACTCACTCACTCATTCTCATTCTCATTCTCACTCTCACTCTCACTCTCACTCTCACTCTCACACTCACACTCTCTCTCACTCTCACTCACTCTCACACTCTCACTCACTCTCACTCTCACACTCACTCTCACACTCACACTCACTCTCACACTCACACTCACTCTCACTCTCACTCTCACTCTCACTCTCACTCTCACACTCACACTCACTCTCACTCTCTCACTCACTCTCACTCTCACTCTCACTCTCTCACTCACTCCTCACACTCACTCACTCTCACTCTCACTCTCACACTCACTCACTCACTCACACTCACTCTCACTCTCACACTCACACTCACCTCTCACTCACTCACACTCACTCTCACACTCACTCTCACACTCACTCTCACACTCACCTCACTCTCACTCACTCACTCTCACTCTCACTCTCACTCACCTCACTCACTCTCACTCTCACACTCCTCCTCACTCTCACACCTCACTCTCTCTCACCTCACACTCTCACTCTCACTCTCACTCACACTCCTCACTCTCACCTCACTCCTCTCACTCTCACTCTCACTCTCACTCTCACTCTCTCACTCCTCACTCTCTCACTCTCCTCTCACTCTCACTCTCACTCTCACACTCTCACCTCACTCCTCTCACTCTCACTCTCACTCTCACTCTCACTCACACTCCTCTCACTCACTCCACTCACTCTCACTCAAACTCTCACTCTCACTCTCACTCTCACTCTCACTCTCACTCTCACTCTCATATTCACTCACACTCTCACTCTCACTCACTCTCACACTCACTCAAACTCTCACTCTCACTCGTATACTTGCAGTGAATTGTGACGAGTCGGCAGGTTGGAAGTTCCAGAGGGCATCGTGGCTGTGTTTCAAAGTGGTTACGGCCAAGGCGACACACACCGCTGCTAAGTCATCCTGCAACCTCCTAACCGCCAACACTCAGAGCAAGGTGGATCAAGCCTACCTCATAGCTTCAAAGAAAGGTAATTAACGTGTAAAACCAAATATAACATATGTTACATTTGACCACTTTCTATATGGTATTGTGTAATCGTAGCTTTCGGCCGTGGGAGCCGTGCTAATTTACCCTTTTCCCAGGGGTCTAGACTACCAGTTGTCCGACTTCCATGTTTGTGGAAGTCGCGCTGGCTGAGCGGGTTAGGCGGCTGACTTTGTGTGCTGGCGATCAGGTGCCTGACTCTGATGGTGTGGGTTCGAATCCCGGATGGGACTCAACAAAAAAGTACTAGAATCTGTACTTTACTAAGAAAGTGTAATCCGAAATAAAGCATATGTTAAATTTGACCACTCTCTAAATGGCATTGTGTAATTGTAACTAAATCAAACAAGAATTTACGTCTTGCGCAAAAAATCTCCAACACTCCCGGCGACTGGCGTTTGAAATGGATTGGGCATAGTAGTGTGATACTACATGCACTCTGCTTCATGTACACTGTGCTCTTGTACATAATTAGACTAACGCTTAGTCCCTGAACATATATATATATGTCTACATAGCAAAAAATAAACACATGCAAACTGAAGAGTAGCCCCAGTGAGTTGGGACATTCAGAACCTTGGGAATTCTAGACTTGCTTCACTTATGGCTTTAGCACTGCAGGGATGGCTAGGCAGTAGGGAAAATAATGTTTCAGGGACTGTGAGACAGACTAGTACATAATGTGCGCTCGAGGTTTAATTCATCACCTTCATTTGTCTTTTATACTGTGTATGGTTTTGATACAGTAACGTATGCATACGTCATGAAAGTGTCAATATGAGTGAGTGAGTGAGTTTAGTTTTACACCGCACTCAGCAATATCCCAGCTATATGGAGGCGGTCTGTAAATAATCGAAAGACCAGACAATCCACTGATCAACAGCATGAGCATCGATCTGCGCAATTGGGAACCGATGACATGTGTTAACCAGGTCAGCGAGCCTGACCACCCGATCCCGTTAGTCGCCTCTTACGACAAGCATGGGTTACTGAAGATCAATATTCTAACGCAGATCTTCACGGGTAAGTACCAATATGATATCATATGTACGATATTTAGGAGATAAACATAATGTGTTGTAAATTCAGAGGTATACAACAAAATTATGATAGCTCTCAATTTGAATAAAAACGAACGCGTAGCGTGAGATTTTAAATAAAACATTTAGAGCTATTATAATTACGTTATATACCTGATTTTCCAACACAGTACGTTTATCTCCATTCTACCATAACCGTGCTATTAAGATTTAAAAAAATACATACTGTGTTGGAAACTCAGAGGTATATAACGTGATTATATACCTCTGAATGACCAATCGCGATCCAGTATTTACTGAAGTCATGGCAGAATCATAAATTCTGTCATTCTGGAAATTATACTCGTCGAATAATATGGATTGTCATTATATACTGTCCTTGCAATACTATTGCTGTACGATGATCTCACTGCAGATTTACGACATAGATACGGGAAGGGGATTTGAACAGTTGTGTGTTCAATTTATCAAGGTGATATAGTACGTGTCTATGGGGCAGCCGATAGCCAAGATGTTAAATGTGAATTTTGACAGAGTTGCATACTTGGGCGTAGTAGAATCCTGCAGTTGCAATTCTCAATGTCGGAATGGGTGGTGGTGTAGCCTAGTGGTTAAAGTGTTCTCTCGTCACGCCGAATACGAGATTCACTTTATGGATACAATGTGTGAAACCTATTTCTGATATCACCCGCCGTGATACTGCTGGAATATTGTTTAAATATCCACCTAAAACAACTCACTTACTCACAATAAGCTTTCGTGTCCTGATATAACTTAAATAGTGTTCACAGTGGTGTTGGGACGCCTCCGTGGTGTAGTGGTTAGAGCGTCCCCGCGGAGAGCGGAAGGTCGCGGGTTCGATCCCCAGCTGCGTCATACCAAAAGACGTTAAAATATGGTACTTGTTGGTCCCTGCCAGGCGCTCGGCATTAATGGGTACAACAAGGACTGGTCGGCTCGGAGTCAGTATAATGTGTGTGAGTGCGGTTATTCATGCGTAGCTGCGGCATGGTATCTCAGTGAGCTAGCACTATAACACCAGCTTAAGTCTGGGCTAGTACAAGCAGCCACACATACACACGCATGCACGTCGTCATATGAGCGAAATATTCTTAAGTACGACGTTAAACTCCATTTCACCTCACCTCACCTCACTTCACCATCACAATGGTGTTGAACCACAATCGTGTCACTTTAAGATTCTCAAGTAGTCCTTAAAACATGGTTTGTTGTAGATGAACGTGTATGGGTCGGGGGAGTTAAAGGATCCGGCGCCTGGAGATGGCTGAGCGGTAAAGCCTTCGACGACTTTGAGGCATGGGACGATGGGTACCCGGAAGGTGGCAAGGACTGCATGATCGTGGTTAAATCCACGCCCAAATGGGCCTCAGACACATGTAGTAAAGACAGGGTGTACATGTGTGAGGTATCAATTCAACCGGAAACGTCATACTGCAACTACTAGGATCTGGAAGACGAGAAATCCGAGGTCAGGCGGTTATATATCACCCTTGAAGTACAGTGCAATTGCCTTGCCTCTGCATGTATTTGTGACGACGGAACCCCTTTATTAGAAATGCATTAAAGGTCCATAAGCACATAACTTTGCTAACGTTAACTTAATGAATATATACTTCCTTTGACAAACTTTGGACTCACTTAAAGCACTCACTATGTGTTATCTATATATGGTTCCAACGAAGATTGATTTCTCCTCTAACTTGGGGAAACCAACTGCAAACCTTATGCAGATGAATTGCACGAGGATCATGCTTCAAATTGCTGAAAAGCATGTGCAAATATCGTGCATTTGAACACAGCTGCGTCTTGGTGCAAAATTTTGTTAAGAATTCGCCAATTTTAACTGATTTTTTATGGTTTGTTGAACTCATGAAAATAATCTTTTCAACGTTACGAATTTGTTTTACAATGCATCAGTTCATGTGTAAACAGTACCTTTAAACAGTATAGAAAATTTTGCAAAATTTAGTTTAGCACCGTTGCCTGAAGTAAATGGATATATATACACTAGTGAGTCTAAACATTTGAAAGGAAGTACGTTATGTAATCGGATGTGCCATGGAATGGAATAATTTCATACGAGCATATCAACATAATGGATTTTGAAGACAGCTGTTTCGCACGTCGGTAATTAAGAAATAAACACACAATTAGGCCCGGGTTCGATTCCCCACATGTGTAAATGTGTGAAGCCTATTGCTAATGTTTCCGACGTGATATTGCTAGAATATTGCTTAAAGCAACGTAAAGGTATACTCACTCACTCACTCACTCACTCACCTACCCACCCACCCACCCAAGAACCCACCCACTCACGCACGCACGCACGCACGCAGGCACACACGCAACCACGCATACATCCACCCACTCACTCACTCACTCACTCACCACCTGTTGTCTCGTTATGTCTCGTTATCTCCATTCAAAGTCATTCTGTGATTACATTTCACGTTTTTTATAAGTTAATTTACGATTTAAACTGTATCACCAATATTCCACCGGCTTGGGAAACTTGAAGTGAAGGATAGGTGGGCAACGTCTCTCCGTCCGGACTCACTGCCACTTACTCAGCAAAGTCCAAGACCTTGACCACGACATACAATTCGGACATTTTTCAAAACCACCATATGGCCGTTGGATTTGTTGTTGTGTTATAACGCCTCTCTGAGAAGAGGTCCAGTGATTGATATTATGAACAACGATCCACGCAATCGGAAAACAAAGAAACACGTTATCAGCTCCGTCGCCGAGCCTGACCACCAGATCCCCTTAGTTCCATCAACCACAAGTACACCGTACCAGCCAGGAATCCACACATCGACTTCGTAAATGACTTTTGTTTGTTTATTCCCAAAAGAAAAAAACGAGATCTACAGAAATCAAAACTATCATAAGCATGAAATTATTTGAACGTTTCAACCTTCCGACCCACAAATGTGGTTTGGTATTTGTGTCATAAGAAAACACTTGCAGACTATTGTGATCGTGTTTATTGATCGTGTGCTCTAAAAATAAAACAAGTTTGTTTGTTGTTTGGTTGCTTAGACATCGTCATTTATGTATGCAGCAGTACAACCGGTCTGTAATTAAAACCAACGTTTGAAGCGTAAACCTATATAACCGAATGTTACAGTCCGTTTCAGTCAGAAACGGACCGATGAATTGCAAATTTTATCATTGTACAAACTTGCAATTTGCAATTCATCGGTCCGTTTCTGACACACCCGGATTGTAAATGATGCCATTCTTTATTCATCCATCACCACGTAATGAGATCATGTTCCTTCTCATTGAATACTTCCCTGTGAATTAATTAGCTAATTAATTAACTTCTAATTAGCTTTAAGTTCTAGTATACAGGAATGATGCGGTTTATCTGTTAGTTTCTAATCGACGTTTGGTCGAACACCTGGTATCAGCAATGATTTTCGATCATCCAATGATATACATTTCTCGGGTTTTGCCCTTTACGCTTGATGGAACCTGCTTCTGACGACAGTCTGGGTATTCTTTTGAGCAGGCAATTAATATTTAGGTAATTCCACACAATGCCTCCTCTTGAAGAAGTTATTTGACAATGATAAATCAATACCCAAGTGTCACCATCAACATTTTGGATATTCACATACCGACCAAATAATATTCCAGGTCTGGGTTTTTCCCAAAATTCAGAGAATAGGGCCTGTAAGTCTCGCGAGGAGATACTTTCGTTAATTAGCTGGATCCCGGCTCCCTGTGCGTGCGCCATCTTGCGATATGCTTACTTCCGGTACCAGATTTCCGGTGACAAGTGTGTATTCAAGAACCAGTTCTGGTTCCAAATTGCGCGACGCCAAATATGACTTTACTAGACCAGACCAAGTGTACAAACATGCTTGGCTGTTACAGCTGTCAATAGTCGCAATGGTTGGCCAATTTGGGGATGGTTAGATCGGAAATGTGTTATTCCTGCAAGATATGATCGGTTCTTTACTGTCAACTGACAACCATGAGACCATTCGAAATGGTATGAAACGTTGTTTTGTCACCGGAAGTAAGAAGGTCTCGTGAATTGCCGTGACCTACTTACAGGCCCAATTTGTCTTACAGGCATAACACACCAGTGAAGAGGATACCCATATACCATGTGTGTACAGCGTAAAAAGTAGGGGAAATAAATGAATGGACCGCTGAACACCAGTAGTAGCACCAGGTGTTCCCGACTACGGTAAGCAGGTCCTTTTCACACAATTTTGAGAAAAAGCAGCAAGTATTAATAACAATATAATAATAATAATTCATTTATATAGAGCCGAAAGATCCATCTAGAATGTGCTCTGTGGCGCTGTACTCGAGTTGGAGTGAGAGTCATTGAAAGGCTTGCAGAAAGAGATGAGGTTTCAAATCAGATTTGAACTTTGTTGTAGTCATTGGCATAATGAGTCATAGTGGAAGACCGTTCCAAAGACGGAGAGTTGCGATGGAGAAAGCTGTATCTATTATAGCCTGACGTCGCACAGCAGCATTCCCGCCATGCCACGGCGGCCTGGACACAAACCAGGCAATCAAGTGATTGACAAACCAGAAAATCCAGTTGTTAGTGTAGAATTAAGAAAACCAATCGTCCTTAGGACATTGCTGAATGTTGTGGAATATCCCATGTGCTTACTGACTTAGTCAAAACTATATCCATCTCAAACAAAAAACATATAATCTCCGCCCGTCATGATCAATATAACTCAAGGCGAATATACCAGACACAATACCAGAAACACATTCACCGGGCAGTGTGATGTGGAAGGTGATAGTACTGATTGAATGGGGCAGCAAACTCATTGAGGCGCATGTAAAATATTACTTTGGCGGTAACCTTGACCATGTGGTTATTATAGTCCACACTTTTAGCGCTTGAGAACTTCGTTACCATCCGCTACGAGGATGGAGAGCGTTAGTTGATGTCGTCACTTCCGGAAACTGCGTCATTGCCGTAACTTCAAGGTACCAGCTTCTGGAAGACTTGCTGTACCTAAATACTGGACAAGGGTAGTTCGTGTTATTCTTTCCGGGTTAGAACTGATCTTCAGTAACCCATGTCAGCGAGCCTGACCACCCGATCCCGTTAGTCGCCTCTTGCAACAAGCATGGGTTACTGAAGGCCAATTCTAACCCGGATCTTCACGGGTCAGGATACATCAGGAAGTGCAGCTATATGCATGTCCAGTATCGCAAAACCCATCAGTGGTCAATACATAACACCCAGGTCATGTTTATTGACAATCAATCACATGTAATTCATTATATTGTGTCTGTGGCAATATTCTACTTCTATGAAGGGCAGGGGGGTAGCTTAGTGCTTAATGAGTACGTGGTATTCCCGTATATAAACACACTCTCAAGTTACATGACGGCTGCTTGTAAATAATCCCGTCAAGATCAGACAATCAAGTGATTTATTAAGTGAGCAGCTAACGACAATGTTTCACAATTGGGAAAGGTACCGAACCTCACCACAGGATCCGACTTAGTCGTATACTGTATTTCACAGCAAGAGGCTTCTTCAATACCTCTCAACAATATGAGCCGCGAAACCATCCAACCACCGTGCATAACACTTCGACAAAAGCAAGTTACAAGCATATTGTTTAGAAATTAGATTAGTTTGTTTCTAAACTCCGCACTCAACAATATATGGCAGCAGTCTCTAAATAATCCAGTCTAGACCAGACGATCCAGTGATCAATAGCATGAACGTATTTGGGATACGATGACCAAGACAGCGAGCCTGACTACCCGATCCCTTTAGCCTCTGACAAGTAGAGGTTCCTGAAGACTACATTCTAACCCGAATCTACACGGGTCTTTAAAATTAGAAATATGGATAAGCGTAAATGTTTTGTATATTACATGTGTTTGTCTCTCGAGCTTTACACAAAAACGAAAGATTCAAGCACACACTTGAAATATTTTTTCTGCATTTGTAAATAGCTTAACATGCTATGTTGTCTAAATATTGTGCAAGTCCACGAGCACATAAATGAGATCATACCCTAGTCAAACAAGTTAATAATTATTGATTTTTTCCCGAGCAGAACTAGTCATGTAGACGTATCATTAGCATCCAGGCATTCCACACAGTTTACGTTTAAAGCCCAATAGCAAATACTGTATTGTTAAATATTGGAACATACAAAGAAACAAACCGTGTCTACTCAAGTGTAAATATATTCAATGCAATTGCAAATAAGTAACAAAACTACGTTTCTGTGTCATATAGATTTAATATTCTTCTGGATATATATAGATATATACGCCGGGAGTTATACTACTGAAAATTGTGTTTGACAAAAAGAATTACAAACAGTATGAAAGCATTACCAGGTAGGATACAGACTACATACCTACATGAAATAAATGACTATTGAATAATAATGTGTATTTCATTTTAGTCGCCATCAAACACTGGTGTATGCTTTCTTTTGATCGTCAGTATAGTGACAGGGAGTCGATAATGAGTGAGTGAGTGAGTATGGTTTTACACCGGGAGTATATTCCAACAATATCAAGGCGGGGGACACCAGAAATGGGCTTCACACATTGTACCCATGTGAGGAATCAAACCCGGGTCTTCGGCGTGACGAGCGAACGCTTTAACCACTAGGCTACCCCACTGCCCCGGGAGTTCCTAATGCAAATTAGGAAACACTGCGAGCTCCACGGCCATAATTGGCCATAAGCAGCATATCACTTCAAAGTGGACTTCAGACTCGATGGCTTGGTTGAATGCTCATTATTTCAACCACTGGTTTATTTGACGTTTTACAGACCGGCGTCATATAGCCGAGGGCGCTGTCAGGAAGCGAACTGACAGTCTGTCACAATCAGGTTAA